GCTTCAAATTTTTTCACACGACGGACTTCCGCAGCTTGTGCAGCAATATCCATGTTCTTGTGCAAAATACCAATACCACCGTTTTGCGCCATCGCAATCGCCATACGTGATTCAGTCACCGTATCCATTGCTGCTGAAACAAGGGGGATATTTAAATTAATGCCGCGCGTGAATCGTGTCTTTAATGAGACATCTTTTGGGAGAACAGTAGAATAGGCAGGGAGTAATAGGACATCATCAAAAGTTAACGCGTCTTGAACGATGGTCAACATGGCAGTCTCACTGGTAATTTCCGTGCGCTATTATAAACAAATATGAACTTAAATTTCATTTCAATTGAAAATTTATTTTTTTATCTTAGAAAATAAAGTGATAAAACCTATATTTTATTTGAGACCTTCATTTTCACCTTTATTTTTTATTTCTTGTTTTGAGATGGATTCAATTAACGTTCTAAAACTCAAAAAGCAGAGCCTTGACTCTGCTTTTACTGATTAACACACTTGATCAAAACCTTCATCATTGACTGGAATGCTCGCCTCCAATTGCACAAATGGAATCATATTGTGCGCACGTCGCGCTTTGTTGCATTGATCATCAGCGATTTGAACTTCTTTACATGAAGAGCTACGCTGTTCATACATCCCACAACTAACGTGCTCACCAATGGTACCTTGCAGTGCGATACAGCGTGGGCTGGCTTGATTGGTTCCAGCCATACATGAATACACAGCCGTCACTGGCTCTGTGTAATGTTCAGGCATGGAGATGCCTTCAGCCCAGTAAAATGAGACTCTAAAAAAGGCACAACATGCCCCGCAGCTTAAACAGGCATCTTCCGTTGGAACTTGAGACAACATCCTTTATATTCTCATTTTCAAAAACTTTTTTTGGAAGAAAATATTAAAAAAATTGTGGTTGCCAAACAAGCAAAATTTACGACTATTTTGTCACTTAAGTTGGACAGGTAAAAACACTCTCATCCATCAAGTCTGTACCGCACTCCAAAGTCTCAATCCAGTCTAAAAATTGATGAATCTGCTCTTGCCCAATAAACGGTGTACCATGCTGCGGTACAATCATTTCGACATCCATGGTGCGGACCATATTGACCCATAAACGAATCACTTTGTTATTGCACATATAGCGCTGATGAAACCCTTTCATTTTAGGAATATGCGCAGCAAAGTTTTCCAAAGGTTTCGAGGCATCATCCACCATCGATGCCCCCATATCGCCTGAAAATAGAATCTTGGCAATCGGGTCATAAAACTGAAAATTGCCTACCGAATGTAGAAAATGCGCAGGCACAGCAATAATCGAAGACTGCCCCAACGTAATCACCTGACCGTGGTCAGGCAGCTCCACTAAACGATCCAGCCAGTTACCTTTCATCCGCTCACTCATAAAGGCAGAGTTCA